CAATTTTGTTTGTTCCAGGACTCAGTTCTGAATATTTGCCCGGTACAGTGTGTAATCTGTTTAGTGCTACTATCGTTCAGCATGAAGGGGTTCCAGGTTACAGTATATGGGCTGCTGCTGATGTGCAAGGTTCTTGAAAGTGAAATGCTTGAAAAATAAAGCCTCATTATGTCTTAGGGCTGAAGAACCCAGAGCTGACTCCTGCCTCAGCGCGTGACCCGGCTCAGAGCCCGGCACAAGTGCTGTTAGCAGTCCTGCAGCAGACTTCCGCTGACTTAAGGGAGAACCATGTCAGTACTGGGCGTATATGCAGTCTGCAACCCAAGCTGAAGGAATAGCTAGACAAGGCGAAAGAGTCTGAGATCATAAGTGTGTAACATCTGTGCACAGTACAGCTCGTGATGGTCCTGAACGTTAAGGGGAGAGCAGGACTGTGCTCTGCAGATCTCTCTCCTGTCAGGATTTGTGACGGCCTGCGTGCAGGTGGGGCTCATAGGGCTTTTTAAGCTTTTCTTTCTGAGGGGATGGGCCAGTGTGCTCTTCACAGCTTCATTCCGTGGCATGCATTAGCTCTGTAACTCTTCAGTGAAGTTTAATTTTTTATTTCTCTGGAACTGTCAGGGGCATCTCTCTGAACAGTAACCAATAACAACATCAAATTGCTGTGTGTAGAAACACATCGAGTCAACTGTCTCTTTTTTTAAACAAAAATCTTGTATCTGGGCAACTAAAGAGAGGAGTTTCTTTGGAAACTGTGCTGTTAATTGTGCTATAGCCTAGAAGCACAGAATCTGCAGGACAGACCATTCTGTTATTTTACAGGGGCATATGCAGCAGTCACGCAGACACGTTAACACAGCAGTCTGCCTTTTCCTAGTTATCTTTGGCCCTAGGTGTGAGGGGAAACAGGGTGTCATAAAATGTGTATAGACATAGTTGTCTACTTAATGCGACCCTTAAGGTTTTCTTTTTTCATCTGTTCTTCCTGGACAGGAGAAGAATTGCAGCCATGAAGTGACAGTGGTTCTATTTTCTAGGACATTTTATGAAGCAAAATCTATAGGTATGTAAATCCTGTACTTTCACATTTCTGTTTTTAAACTTGTCTCCTCCTCTCTCGAGAGTTGGTCACAGGCTGGCAGTGGCTTTTTTCCCCTACATTTTTATGCCCATATCCAATGTATTCCAGACCAGGCTAGCATGGATACACAGCCATTCTTGTGGAAGCATTGCAGTAAAAACCTTACACAGAAGAATGGCAGATTTTCCTCATACTCAAGCTGTCATCTTGTTTTAAAAGCAATTTTAATATTGTGTAGGAGATCTGGTATTTCTCAAAGATATTTTTTTTTAATGGCAGTAACAGCTCCTTATTGGAAGAGATGAGTCATTGCTATACAAGAGCATAGGATAATCTCTGCTTTTGCTTCTGATTCAGATGAGTTTCCTGAAACGCATCGTGCGTCAATTCGACAGGATCACGAGGGAAGATTTTACGAAGATTTTTACAAGTATGTCTTCCTCCTGGTTCTTTCACCTCTTGTCTCATAGTGTATCTGCCACTTGTGTGAAGAATATCATGGTATTAACTTAACTGTAGGACCTCTTAAGGAATTCCGGTAGTGAAAACTGTCTGAAGCTGGCAGTAGATTGATGGAGTAGTGCCTGTTCCATCTGTGAGTTCACACCCGTGTTTGCTAAGTCAGTCCTCCGTGTGCATATTGTGTTGTCTGTGCTCTGCTGGAAGTGCCAGTGAACTTGAAAGTTCTGTAGGGTTGCAGTAGTTTTTGCATGAGGCTTGGCTGTTTTTCAGGTCTTTACATTCTTGAGTTGAGGAGCAGATGAAGCCAGTGCAGAGACTGCAAGCGTTCCCAGTTAGATACTGGAGCTCTTTGGCTGATGGTCGCAACAGATGCAGCTGTTGAAGCTGTCATTTGCTTCTGAACTTGGGCTTGTTAACGATCTTTCTGCTTTGCAGAACAGTGCTGCTGTCTGACATAATGTTCATCACCCATTTAGAAGGCAGAGGTTAAACTGTTCTGGCTGGAGATGTGCCCAGCTTACCTGAAAGACTGCTGCAAGCATGCAGTGGTGGTAACATGCTGCCTAGCAGGAGGAAGAAAAGCTCACTTTCTTGTGCATTCCTTTTTCTGTACTTTGTTCATCCCTTCTCACTTCCTTCTCCTAGCTTCCTTTTGTGATCCTCACTAAGTTGTGCTCTTTCTAGAGTTGTAGTTCAGAATGAGAGACGCGAAGAGTGGACCTCATTGCTGGTGACCATCAAAAAGCTCTTCATCCAATACCCTGTTTTGGTACGACTAGAGCAAGCAGGTACAACCCTAGAACCCTCCTTTCTGTGCTTTTACACTTTTTTTTTTTTAGCTGTCTGTAAACTCTCCAGTTTCAGTTGGAGTCTGGTATCATACTACTTAGTGCTGTCCTGGCTAAGTTAACTTGCTTGGGTCTTTCTGTGAGATACCCCATACCAATTTTGCCTAGGGTGATGGGATTTTACTACTAATGCTGTTTGGTTTGGTTTTTAACAGCTGTGCTGTATAGAGGTGATGAATCTTTTTTTCTTTCTTCCTCCTGAACACTTGTCCAGAGGGCTTTCCTCCAGGTCACAATTCTACCTCGGCACAAGGGAACTACCTGGAGGCCATAAATCTGTCATTTAATGGTAAGTTATGACAAATACAGAGGGGAACCATTACAGCATCTGCCAATGAACGGGTGAGGACTTCTGTTGCCTGTTGCTTAACACTGTGAAGAGGAGGGGAATATTAGGTGTTTTAAGTTGTCTTTTTCAGCCTCAGGAGAAATTGTCTTGTCTGTAAAATCAGTGGCTCTCAAATACCTGACTGTTGGGTTTTTCAGGCATCAGGAACCATTTACAGGACCTTGTTAGGATGAACCTTTTTCTTCCAGCTGTGTATGTGTGAGAACCTCTTGGAATAGAAGTTGAAATTTTAAATTATGGAAGCATTTCAAAATCAGGTTAGATCAAACATGATTCAGGTGAAGCTGATCCATCTTTTTTTAGCAGGGAGATGTATTTGATGGGCTGAAGAAGGTCCCCAAAATCTCCTTTTTGTGATGCTGTGCATCAGATGTTACTCCATCACCTTAAGGACTGGTCAGGGCTACATACAAACCCTTTCCTGCTTGCATGAGCTTTGTGGGCACTTGTTTAATACCACTGTTAATAGAGAGTCACCTTCCTTGCTCTGAAAAAAACTATCCAGCATCTTTTTCTCTTAAAGTATTCCCCAATTCTTCCTCTTAGTGTTTGACAAGCATTACATAAACCGGAACTTTGATCGGACTGGCCAGATGTCTGTGGTTATCACACCTGGTGTGGGTGTATTTGAAGTTGATCGGCTCCTGATGATTCTGACCAAACAGCGGATGATAGACAACGGTAAGCAACGGGTGGTACCCCGCCGTGTTTATGAAGGCACACAGATATATTTGGAAAAGCTCTTGCCTTTTCTTGCTATGAAAAAGTATCTGTTGTAACGTGTGCACTCTGGAAAGAGGGGTTACAGCTGGAAGGCTTGTGTCCTCACTTCGTATTGAACTGGAGAGATATTCAGAGAACTTAGAGGTGTTTGATTCTGATTGTGATTGTGATAGCAGAGCACTTCAGCTGACCACACAGACCTTTCCCTTGAAGGGTGAACTTGCATGACTTGCATCAGTGTAAGAGAAACACTTCTGATATCACAGCTGGCACTGTTGGTTTGTAACCGTACCGCAGGACTGTTAACTGACTTTTTCAGTATAATTGCATCTTAAAATCTGGTATGGATACAAACTGGGCCTTCAGCTCAAACTGGTGACCTGTTTAGGCTTAGCCTATCAGTCCTGCTTGGTAGATAGCTGGACTCTGCTGTTCTTTGTTTACAGGAATAGGTGTGGACTTGGTGTGCATGGGAGAACAACCGTTGCATGCTGTGCCACTCTTCAAGGTAATGGATGTTTCTTTTCCCTCTCTCTGCTCCTAACAGAAATGTTACCTGTTTTGTGAAAAGCTAGACACAACTGGTTGCTGTGTTTCTGAATTCCTCTTACAGCTCCATAACCGCTGTGGACCTGGCGACTCCAGACTGGGTGATGATTACAATATTCCACACTGGATAAACCATAGGTAGGTGAACTCTATCAGCCTTTGCCAAATTTTTGTACTTTGATTTTCTGTTTATAGCCTTTTGAATTCTCTCTCCCCTTTGGTTGTGTATTTCCTCTACTCTGCTTGCAAAGCAAAGACATATAATGGTCTTGCAGAACAAGGAACGTTCTTGCAGGACTCTGGGCCTTAATGCAACATATCAGAGATGACAGGCAGTTCGCAGAGGTCTTGATCTTAATCTCTCTTTCCAGGTAACTTAGTTCTAGCCTTTAGCTGTGCTCAAAGGAAGTCAGGAAGCTAAACAAAAAACACAGACTCTTCAATTAGATTGGTTATTTGTGGAAATAAATACATCCCAAATGGACAGTTACAGGTAGAGAAAAAGTGGGTAACGTGGATAAATGTTGAAACAGTTGCAGGACGCTGCTTCACTGCAAGACATGGGAGGTTTCTTTTCTGCTTTCTGTTAAACATTCTGTGGAGTAGTACTCTGTCGTCTTTCTCTGCCCGTATTGATCAGGGCTCAGAATGAAAACTACCTCCTCGGTCCTTGTTCTGCTCTAGGATTTTTTTTTTTCTCTCTTTTAGTACCTCACTTTGCCTGCCTGCATTAATTGACTGTCCTGACCATTCACGGGTCGCTTATACCCAGTATTTCCAAGGGGCTGGAAGGCATCTGATCTTTTCCATAGATGGAAAAGGTTTTTGAAGGCTTATAATAAGGCAGGATTTAAGATTCAGATGACAAGAAACAAACCTCAATGAATAAATTTCTTCAAAGGGAGGAGGTCCTTAGTTTTCAGGCAGCCGATGTGTCATTACTGTCACGTAAATTAGGGGAAGAGTCATGTAAACTGCACAGCACTGTATTGATTGTGGAGGTGGGTCACCGCCTGCGGAAAGAGGAGGTGAACTGGGCAATGCAGGTGTTGGCATATAAGAGGAGGTCTGGTGGGAGGCTGTGTGGGAATCAAAGGCTGGTCTTTAAGGCAAGAGTAGCTTCTCTCAAGTTAGCCATCCGTCAGTGTTTTCCATGTGTCTTATGCAGAGAGAAGTATCCCCTTTTCTCCATCTAATAGCTAGCTCAGATTTTGCTGTGTAGCTGTGCAGCTATGTTCAATTCCTAAAAGGCAGCTGAGCCACCCTGTTTTTCCTTTCAGTTTCTACACATCCAAAAGCCAGCTCCTGTGTAACAGCTTCACTCCCCGGATCAAGCTGGCAGGAAGGAAAGTAGGTATCGTTCTGATTTATCTTTTCTTCTTACTAGTTTGTCAGATGCCTTTTCTCAGCCAGGCATCAGGATCTTTCTAGCAAGTATTGCAACTGCTGTAACTAAATTTCTGTGCTAAAAGGCAGTGAAAGCAAAGCTCTAATGATTGTTTTAGGGGCTGTGAGTGAGGGATTGGTTTGTAGGTCTTTCCTTTCTAGGATGGAACTAGGTGAAAAATGTTTTAGCCAACATAAAAATTAGCGTTTCATTCTGTAATGGGAACTCCATGGAGAGGAAGAGAGGTGTTGCTAAAGATGTGTTTTTTAGAAAGGTTTGCAACTGAGTATCAGTATTTCACATTTCTACAGTGGTCTGGCTGCCTCACTGAGTCAGCAGGATAAACTTTAAGCCTTGATCAGACTGGGGGATATTTCCTTAGAATGTGCTGACTGTCTCTTTTCTCTTGCTCTCTCTTTTTTTCTTTTTGGTCACTTCACACTTCCTGTTTTGGACCCTACAGCCTCTGACTGAGAAAGCAAAAAATAACCGAGATGCCTGTGAGTAGTAATTCTGTTCTGGAATGATCTATCCCACTGACTGCCAAACTAACAAACAGCTATAGTAAGACAGTGACACTTCAGCCAAAACTGAACTACTGGTGAGATGTGGGAAGGGACAGTTGCAGAAAACCATCAAAACCATGTCATCATTATCCTGGGTGTTAATGTGCACGTATAAATTGCATTCTTGGCAAATACCTCATATGGAAGGAGGAGTGACTTTCTGTCCTGGCTGCTTGTCACCTGGCTAGAGGAACAGATGGGATCAGGCTGGTGTGCTAGCGATTCTGCTCGTGGGAGTAGGACAGGAGGGCGTTCGCTGGCTTGGGATGTTGTCAGTGCTGTGCTCACAGAATTACAGTGGGAGAAGCCTGCATTCTTCTACCACCACCTCGTTTCAGGAAGGCGTACATTTTAAAATGAGGCTGTCCTTTTTTTCCAAGATGGTTTAAAATATGCAATTCCTTTGTGATGGAACTTGAGACATCTGTTCATATGCAATTGACTTGTTGATTATTAATTTAATATCTTGGATACATGGGGGAAAGATACTGGGGCCTCAGCAGCCCTGATTCAGAGACATCAACTTTGATAATTGAGCTGTTCCAGCTGTTCTGTTCATGAGACTTTTGTATGTGATTTCTTTTGGAATAGATACTTTTCTTAGTGGGAGGGTTGGATACTCCTAACTCACAGATCTTGAGCATTCTTGGAAGAGGTTCCAGTACTGTATGACGTTTATTTCAGCATTAGGGTCTCCGAAAGATGCTGAGAATGCCCTGCCAATCCAGGTAGATTACGATGGCTATGATGCCCAGGTGTTCAGGCTGCCAGGCCCATCCAGAGCCCAGCGCTGTACCACTTTCAGGTGAGAGGCTTGTGAATGTTCTAGTTCTGGAGTAGCTGTGTTATGGTCTTGATGCACAAAATGCTTCAAGAAATGTAAGGAGAAGTAAGCTCCACGTGCTTACAATTGAACAAAAAGCTTCATCTGTAGCTGGTGTTTACGGCTGGCTGGCTGGTATTCTCCTTGAAGATGGTGTGTGGGATCTAGGAAAAAACGTAAGTATACTTTTTCCTTGCATCTTTAGTTTTGTCTGAAGTAGAATGAAGCTGCTCTCCTTTGCTAAGTTCCCAGCAGGTTTTGCAAGCTAGGTAAGAAAGTACTTGCACAATAGACTTGCACAGAGTTGTAGAAATAGCATTAGTGTGATGCACTGCTTAGTAACAGGCACTGAACATCATTTTCAGGGAAGATTCCTCACCATTATGCCTTTCTGGATGAGGGAAGAGACAGAGAAGCTGAGTGCAGGTTCTCAAATATTCCATGGTTTTTTCTCTGAGAAGGGAGGCTAATTATCTTCATGTCCTGGCCAAATTCATTGAACAACCTATGCATTTCAGTGCTTTTTCAGGAATGTGGAAATGATGAGCTTGTTTTGAAGGGATTTTTTTTTTTTGCTTCAGTAGTATTGCCTAAATCTGAGGAAGCTGTGCATGTGGGCTCACTTGATAATATGAGCAGCTTGTGGAAATCCGTACTGGAAGATGCCAGTACAGTTTAATGGAGTTAATAATTCCAAGTAGTGTCCCTATAGCTATGTGTTCCTAGCACTGTAGGCTCAGGTCCGTATCTTCCACACTACTTCTATGTTACCAGCTTGGTGTGATGTCTGTAGAATTGCAAAAAGAGTTGGGCGTGCTCTTTTCACAGCCATTGTGCTGGAAGCATTTTAATGTTCTGTTCTTCTATTGTATGATGCACAGACGTTTATAGTGCCCACATAGTCAAAACATAGGCATAGGTTCTTTGTAGTCCTCTTCTTGAGTTCACCTGTTGAGTCTCTTGGATGTCTTGGGCCTGTTCAAGTCCCTTGATAACGCAGGAATTAAACTTTTTCATATCACTGGATGTATCTGTTTATTTTCAGCAGGTCTGTGAGGGAGAGAGAAAGTCGTACCAGAAAGAGCTCTAGTTCCTATGACGTCTCGTGCAGCCCTTCCCTGCAGAGCCGCACGCTGCCCCCAGAAGAGGTGAGGAGTCAGGCTTCTGATGACAGCTCACTGGGCAAGATCTCCAACATCCTGATGATCCCACGGCCTCATCTGCACCAGTATGAAGTCAGCAGCTCCCTGGGCTATACCAGCACCAGAGGTCAGCCTAAGGCAGATGGGAAAGTTCCTTAAGTGGGGAGAGGGGCGATGGAAGTTTGTGTTGGCCACTGCCGGGCCAGCACAGGGGAGATGGTCCTTGTATTAGCATTTATGAAACCCCAGCTACGGCTGGGTGTGCGTTCTCCCTTTGTTATCCTTGTCCAATTCCACTGCTTTTTTTTTTTTAATTGGCTTGTCCTAAATACAAGTGTCCTGACACTGATTTGTTCTTTTCCCTTGTCTATTACCTTCTTTAATATTTGACTATTCTCCTGTGCCCGCCTGCAAATGTGGACATACACAAGTAACTTCTTCTTTTCCAGGTCACCTATAATCTGTCAAATGAGAATTGGCCTTGGGGGACCCTGCTTATAACTTCTCTCTGTGGGGATTATTGTCATTCAGAGTCACTTTTTGGATCCTTCCTTGTGACAGGGCACTGCCGAGCTATCTTGGTGTGCTAGCTGTGCTCAGAGTCTCCTTTTGTTCCTCCCAGTTTAATTTTGTTCTCAGACAGTATGTGGTATCTTCCACAATCCCAGCTCGTTTTTAGATAAATTGTATTCCTCCTGCAATTGCTTGATCTTCTGTAAATTCTACCCCTGAAGGCTCTTTATGAGGTTTTTTTGTTTTCATGTTGTGCTATATGTCACCTAATACCATGTTTATCCTGTTACAGGAATTGGATTGACTGTTGTGGAGGAGCTGTCACACAGTGTACTTCACATTACATTTACTTTTCATGTATTTCCCTGCTTTCAGTTAATATACACATTTTTTTTCATTTTTGTTACCCCTTTAATTTGAAGGGTGGTCTTGGACCCAGCTGAAGGTGTACAACTGGATGGGATGTGTGTGGAATAGGACTGGCAGGGAGGGAAGAGTCAGGGTAATTGGGATTTTTCACATGTTCTGGTTGGCAGCATGGAGCTGTAAATGAGACCCTTCCTTCTCCTTGGGATTTCCATGTGTTGAACAGAGTAAATGCTGCTTAGTCCTCTCCTTTCTTACTCCTTTTTCTAAGTAACTGCACTTCTACATTGAATAGAGAAGGTTAGGTACTGGCTTGCTGAGATCTTGTGTCCTGTGTCTTCTGGAAATAATCCCTTATTTCAGCAATCAAATCTGGATGTTAAAAGAATGCCAGAGTTCCTCAGCTGTGCCATCTGCTGGGGCTTTGGTACTCACCCTGAAGTTCCTGGTGTGTCAGTCTTTTGATTGCTCAGGAGTTGTCAAAGCCCTGAGTTGACCCAGCAAGTGGTTTCTTTACGGTTGTGTAAAGTGACACGGTATAGAGCAGTGCTGCAGTGGCAGATGAAACCATATTCTTTGTCTGGATTCTTGTTTCCGTTTTAGCTTGCAGACTGGATTCGAATTGCTTTCAGCTTCTCTCCCTGCCCACTCCTTCGCTCTCCTTATTCCCACTTCCCCTGGGGAATCTTTGTACCCCTAAGCATCTCATTCTCTTTTGCTTGTCTTCTGCGTGATCTCACGCTGACCTGAAGTTGTGTTTCCTAGATGTCCTTGAGAACATGCTGGAGTCTCAGCAACGTGACTCCAGTGCCCCTGGGAGGTTCCACGTTGGCAGTGCTGAATCCATGCTGCACATCCGGCCTGGGGGATACACACCCCAGCGAGCACTGATAAACCCCTTTGCCCCATCCCGTATGCCCATGAAGCTCACGTCTAACAGGAGGCGCTGGATGCACACCTTCCCTGTGGGTAAGTGTTTCATAGCATATCAGACTGCTGTCACTTTCTCCTTGTCTGAGCATTAGCACAAGAGAACCAGTGTGAACTCTGGTGCCTTGAAGTATTCCGCACTGAACTGGGTGTACAGGCTTGGTAAGTCAGAGATTCTCTTTTTGGAAATGTTACCATCTGTAGGCAAACTTGCAGCATCAGGAGCTGTGGAACAATCTTACGGTAGACAAAAGCTGCTGAAGCGAATCGTAACCATCGTTTGGGTTGACTTGCAGGTGCTGAATGGTTCTCACGTTTGTTTAGCGCTTTGTAAGGAGGCCCTCCAAAATGTTGAGAAGAGTATTCTGCTTCACTGGCCTCAGAGAGGATGCCCGAGGTTCAAGTCTTGTAGATTTTGTAAACATGCTTTCGTAACGTGCATTACTGAGCATTGCCTGTGCCGTTGGCTAAAGGGAGGGTACAAGCAACTGAGGAATCAAGGCAGATGATGTGATTAATGATCAAACTGTAACTGTGTAGGTCCGTCAGGAGAAGCTATCCAGATCCATCATCAGACCCGTCAGAATATGGCAGAAATGCAGGGCAGTGGGCAGCAGGATTTGACACACTCCTCTGCCGAGCTGCTGGAGCTGGCTTACCATGAGGCAACCGGCAGGTGAGGTCCTTAGGATGCATCTCTAGACATTGCATGAACATCCCTTTTCCTTAGCATTTTCTGTGTGCTACAGCAAGGTCCTTAGAGGTCGTGGTCTGTAAGGTTAATAGGATGTTGTGTCAGTGCTACACACACACAGTCTGTACTTTTATTTTCAGACACAAAGCCCTTTTGGCAGGGCTGCAGATGGTTTACCTCCCCTAACCTGGGGAAGGTGGCAGTTTATCAGAGCTTGCAGTGCATGAGCATCATTCTGTGAATTGTTCAGGATCGCCCTATAAAAGCCTGTGTCTTTCGTTCTTGACTTATTATCCCGATAGCTGCGACATTCGTCCCAGAACAGAACGGTTTTTAGCACAGGGTGCAGCTCTGCCTCACGGTACCTGTTGAGCAGTTTCCGTGCTGTCCATCTGTTCAGTCCCGTTCCCCATGCTGGTAGGAACGTCAGCCGTCCTGGGGGGCAGTTTGCGAGGGAAGGTACCTGCCTTCATAAACTGGTGTTCTTTTTAAAAGCTTGGTTTGGTGTTGGGAGCTTACACGGACTGTTGGCTCTGGGAAGTGAAAAAGACCCTGGTGTTAGTGCGTGTGGCGTGGCTGTGGGGAGGCTGGTTTTGCAGTGAGAGGAATTAGATCGTTCGCTTCACCCAGGCCATTTTTCAAGTTGCTCAGTTGTTCCCAATCTTCAGCTATTGTCTTACCCCTTTTTTATGTGATTATTATTTTATTGACAACATTTTGTCCATGTTGTTCACCAAAACCCTTCTGGTAGCTTAGGCAACTTCAGAATTGCCAGTAAGTTTGTTTCTTTCATCATTAACTTCAGTGTCTTTCCTGCTGTGTGTTTTCTCTTGCACGCTTATGGAAATTTGTGTTGCATGTTTCTGGATGTCCAGGGTGAGCGGGGACACTGCTGGTATCCTCTGCCTTTTTCATTTTCAGGGTCTTTTTTTCCTACTGTCTTCAAGGAGTCCTTCAGGAAATGGCACTGCCTAATTACCCTTTCATGCTTTTTGTTTTTTCCTTTTAAAGGGAAATTGTTGTCCTGTCTGATACTTTGTATTGTCCTTTAGAATACTCTAACCTCTTCGTGTTGCATCATTTTTAATCTTACATCCTCCTCACCAACTTTGTTCACTAGTTCTAATTTAAAAAATAATGGTTGCCTTTTTATTACTTCGTAAGTACATTCCAGTGTGCTAAAGTATCTTGTCGTTAACGCCAGCCTCGTGTCATGCTCAGGATAGTTCTTTTTCTGGATCTTTCTGGTCTCTGTGGATGACTTGCTCATCTGAAGCAATTTGCTCAGTCTGGAGTATTGGTTTTACAGACTGTGAAATCAGATCCGTAAATAACTAGCCAAGTTTTATTTGTCTCCTGGGACGTTTATGAGTAGCTGGTTCTCCCCTGTCCTGCAAAGACAGTGCAAAGAGATGGTTATTGCTAGAGGCAAAGAACAAACAGCACGGACAGACACGGGATATTGTTGCAGCCTCCTCTCTGTGGCGCTGGTGCCTGTTACCATCTCTGCGTACCTGAAGGGCATGGTTTCACCCCAGGCTCAGCTGAGACAGCCCGCTGATTGCTTGTTATTGATACATCAGCTCTTAAAAGCAGGAGTGGCAGCAGCGAGGGAAGTTTGTCTAATACGCGTTGGTCTGTTTTTGTCCAGACATACCAGCTCTCGGCATCCAGGTGACAGTGCCTCTTTCCTGAACTTCAGCGGAGCAGAGGAGTACTCCAGTGGTCTGGCTGTCAGCAACGGTGCAGGTAACAAAGCAAGGACAGAGTGTGGAGTTGGGAGAGAAGGCCCTTCCTCGTTAGCAGTGAGAGAGAAATGGGGCCGGAAGTCACGGTGGGGGTGAGCTGGGCATGACCAAGTAGAAAGAGTAAGGGAAAACCAGTTTTCCACTTGCAGTGATCTGTTAGTGCTCTTCCTCGGATTTTTTTTTTTTTGGTGTGGTTTTGGGTGTTATTTTTTGGTTTGCTTTTGTTTGATGTGTCTCTCCTGGTCTAGGTACGTGTTAGAAATGTGTTAGTGTGGAAAGATGATAGTTGTTTACATCCCATAAGCTCTCAGGCGGTTGCTTAGCTTCATAATAACAAAGCACTGACATCCAGACGCAAAAAAATGACTCAATATGCACTGGTATTGTTCAGAACCCTTTCTGGGTGGGGGGATCATCCTTTGGATTAAGAAACTTGTTTGAATATATATTTTATATAACAAGCTGATGGAAAGAATAAAGTTTGGTTGCATCTAGGTTTTGAGAGAAGCTGTAAAAAAGCAGGTTTATTTTGCATGGTAACCTCTGGGATCCAGTGTGTTCTGGCATTTCTTGTCATTATCCACAAATGCACTTTCTCCAGATTTTAAGCACTTTGAACATGCTGCTGCTTATACCAAATATGGTTCACACAGCCCAAAATATGCCATCATGTGTATGAGAGAAGACGCGCGCGTGCGTTCAGTTGAAGGTTAGCACTGTCTTACCTTACTGGGACCCCTGAATTAGTGGAACTTCTCAGTATTTCTTTTGAGTCCTGTAAGTGGGACAACATCCCACCCTACGCGTTCCTTTGCGTTGCCTGTTTTTTGCAACCTGCCTTCTGATTTTATGGATGTGTTTTTTAGACAGGCACATGGCAAACATTTCTGATCTTCTAGACTCTAGCATTCAAGACTTAAAAATTGTTTTTTTAAAAAAAGAACTGAAGATTTAAAAAAAAAAATCACCCTTCTGAATGACATTTGGATTAAAAGAGTTGTTTTCCTCTATGCTTGTACCTTGAAGACGTTAGCAGACTTAGTTTTCTTGTGTCTCTCTTGTGTTGTGTTCACGTAGTCACATTAGAATTGATTTTATTCTGTTGTCTCCTGTGGATTTCATCTGAATACATCGCATTTTCCGCTTTACTTTTTTTCCCCTGCCTTCCGGATAGACTCAGTTTGCTCTTGCTGTGGCTAAGCTGCAGTTCAGCTGCTGGATGCAGTTGGCACAGCGCAGATGCAGAGTGTATCCTGGCAATAAAACACACCTGCATTCTGTAGAAGTCTCCTGCCTGCGTAGATGGGATGTACATCAGTGTGTGCTGGAGGTCAATCTGTGTCTGTCTTTGTGAAAGCCGTTCTCAGCACCTTCCCTGCCTGAACGCCCTCGGCCATCTGTAGCTGCTGCGCTCTGACTTGACGTTTCTCCCTTATGGTTTGAGTCACCTCTGAAATGAAATGGTTCTTTTATCTTTTTATCTATTTCAAAAAAATCCACTTTCTCAGGGAGTCTGGATCTCCCCTGCGGCCCACAGCATGTTTTGCTGCAACACGGGCTTCGCAGTGAAAAATGAGCCCGTCGATTTACTCCGACATCCACCGTGCTGTCTGTGTTGGCCAGCAGATGGGTAGAGCGTGGTTCAGGGCAAATAAATCATGTTGCAGTGCCCTAACTAGATGGCAGATGGCACCCGCGGAGTTGGTGAAAGATGAGTGACAGTTTGAGCTAGCTCCGCTGCCGTTTTACTGGCATTATCAGGGAAGCAGATAACCATCCTTTCTGTTAGCAAAAGTTGTTTAGAGTAACAGCTGTATGTTGACAGCAATTTCCTGGATAAATCTACATAAGCTAGTTTTATAAACATGGCTCCTTTTAAATGCTCGGAGGCCTCCTGAAATTTGTATTTTGATAAACGCCTTGTAAGCCAGCAATTATTTTTGTCTCCTTAGCTGCTCATTTCCTCTCGTGTGCCACAACAGCTGTTTATACAGCTACATGGTGAACCAGCTCAGGGACCTGATCCAGATAACTGGGGTTTTTCTTTGCTCTATGGATTGTTTCCCTGTAACTACACAAATATTGATGCAGATACAGCAGGCAGATGTGAAATGGGGACTAGGAAGGTCAAGGGGTACCGTAGCATCATGTTGGCTTAGTGTTCACTGAGCTGTACTTTTAGTATCTGTTTTGCAGGTTAATAGGCTGCTCAGAATGGATCCATCTCACAGTGAGAAAAATCAGTGCCTTAAGTCCTAATCAAGATTTAAGACTAATGAAAATTTATATTTAAGTCCCGTATTAGTTTTTATTTAGGTTCGTATAAACTGAATTTTGCTCACAAATCGATCATCTCTTCATCTGCTTTCATGCTGAATAAAAATGTGCTGTTCTCTGTTAGGGAAGGATGGACCGAGAGACATCTTGGGTGTTGAAACTTGATAGAAGTTGATGCCTTTTCAGAACATGATAGTTTTAAACAGTCTGCAGTTAATACATTGGACCTATTTAGGGGCACTGAAGGCTTAATTAATTCTTTTCAAATTTTTAGCCTGGCAAGGGATAAGAAGGGAGTTTGTATTTGCTGAATCAACAAGAACAGCTGTTCTGTCTCCTGCCTGCCCGCTGGCAGAGAGGTGAAAAGTATACTGGTAGCTTATGTGTAAAAATGTTGGAATTTGAGTAAATCTGTAATGTGATTTTTCACAAATTACTCTTTGGAGTCTTACGTAATTAGAATCTTATATATGGGTTCTCTTCTTCCACCAGGTGAAACTCTATTATAATTTCCTTTCTTGCTGCTTCTGTGTTTTATGAAATTCTTCGTCTTAGCTTATCCCTTGCTCATAAAATGAGGAAAACAATAAAAAAGGTGCTACTTTTGGGTACTGAATGTATTTAAAAGTACTTAGCTGCTGAGATCCATCTCAGATTAGCAAGTTAAATAATTACAAGCAACTCCTTTGTTACCGTTCTTTTTTTTATGGCATCTACTGTTCAAGATGTGTTTCACCATTTTGGGGAGGTTGGTTTTGTTTGTTTTTTAGCTCCTGAACACTTCGAATAAGATGTTCAAATTTCATCCAATTTTCTCTGTCTCTTTTCCCCTTCTTCGTTAGTTGGCTTCTGCTGTGCAGAACCCTGAGTTCTTTCCAAGGGGAGAAATGGCGTATCTTGCAACATGTGCATGCTTCTGATGTATTTTGATTTGAAGTGAAAGTGAAGTGCATAATTGGTTAAAGTAAAATACTTACTTCTTTCTTGTAGGGATGAACCTCAAAACTCAGAACAAGGATTCATTAGAAGATGCTGTCTCTAACTCTCCGGATCCAAGTAAGCAGGAGAAAGGTTTGGAGGAGAGTTTGCCTAGGTGGGAAGATGGGGAGGGAAAGGGTATGTATATCTGTAGAGGCATCAGGATGGGGTAAACAAGAAACGGTGGAGCCCACTTGGCTTTTGGCAGTAGATTGTTTTGCCCTGCAGTAATTTGCAGGATCTCTCTGTACTCTGTGTCTCACTGTGATTGCAGAGAACAAGAATTCTCTTGAAAGTATGTGAAACTGGTTGTTGTATTACATCTGAACTTCTTTCTTACCAGACACTGTTATGCAAAAAGGTAAAGCCACTGAACACTTAGGTGCCTCTCAGTATGAAAAGTTTGCTTGGCACCAGCTAACTGAAGCAGTAGGGGTGCAGTCGGTGTCTGATTTTGGTACTGTTTACTGAGAAAATGTGTCTAATACAGAAACAAGTGTGTGACTGCTTAAAAAACCATTTTCTTGTACAGTGTTCCTGCCATTAATGTGAACATCCTGCTAGTAAAATAACTCTGTAAGATGTCTGTGACGAGAAGTTAAGAATTAGTAGTTGGCCAAGTGCCGTGATGTGGATTGTTTGGGGCAGGTCAGAATGTAGTGCAGTAGTGAAGTGATGAGTTCATGTAAAAAAGCTTTTGCTTTTTTAATGTCTACTTTTAGATCTCTAATCTTGAAACTGCAACGTAACTCTAAGCAAGGGTGTGGGGAAGGATTGCTTTCCAAGCTACTATTTTTCTGGTCTTCCCACCCCTCTGGATCTGTCTTCTGGTTTTATAACTGTAGAAATACTCCCTTTTCTGCTGTCGTACTATTCCAGAAAGAGGCTGGTCTGTCATTCCTTCTCTTCTCATCCCCAGCTCCTCCTGCAGTTGTCTGGGATGCAAAGCTGGTCTGATTTTCTTGTTCAGACTTGGAATGTTGATCTGTTTTATTAATAATGAGTAACTGCACCTGCCTTGCTGTAATTTTGGAAATGTCAGCTCTAGCTTTCAATCAACAGAAAATGAGATGTATTAACTCTGAATGCCATTTGCATGATGGGATTGAATTAGCATGTGCACTGCATTGTTTAACAAACTCTGTCTCTTTCTCTCCCTCCCTTCTTCCCATCCTGCTTTCTTTTTCCCTTCCCATTCCACCTCCTTTGTTTCCCTGTTGACTTTATGCCAACTCTGTCCTTGTCCCTCATTCTTTTTAACTTTCCTCTTCGCACATTCCCTCCGCACCCTCTTTCTTCATGGGTGACCATAAATGCCCCGTTGTCTGCCCCCGCCAATGATACACCGAGGCAGTTCTGACGCTGTCTGCTCCCCCCGTAGTGCCAGGCTTCTGTTGTACAGTTGGAGTGGACTGGAAATCTCTCACTACTCCGGCATGTCTCCCTCTCACCACGGACTACTTCCCTGACCGTCAGAGTCTGCAGAATGATTACACTGAGGGTTGCTATGATCTCCTCCCAGAAGCTGACATTGACAGGTTTGGCCAGCACCTTCTCTGTAACGTACCGTGCTTTGAGTCGCGTGCTTAAGGCGCAGGTGATGGAAAAGGAGCGCAGTGGAGACTCCGCAAGAGAAGGATGAATTCCTAACATAGTTAGCAGCAGAATACTTAGATTTTTTGCTTTTCGGTGGTAACTTTGCACCTTTTCTGATGTTACCATCTGACAGGATTGTGTTCTGTAGGTTTTATGTTAGAAATTGTTTGCGTACAAAATTTTACGTCTCTTGTGTTGTTTCAATCAGAAAAAACAGCCTCAAGCTTCCACCTTTGTTAATAGGTTTTCTGGCAAGTGTTTTGGAAACACCAAATGAGCAGATGCATCTGTACGCACAGTATTTAAGATGCTTGTCCTCACTTTCAGGGATATTTAGTTTAAAGAATTTTGGTGGAAAATAGTGGGATAAACAGAGCTTTTCTCAGCTTGGCTTGGTGGTCTGTGGTAACTAGGATGAGGTTGTTTGGGGTTTTTTCTGAAGCTGTCTCATTTTCTGAAACATTTTTCAAACTTTCAACAACTTGTAAGACACCAGAAAGACCTGTTCGTCTTGGGAACAAACCAAAAGTGTTAGGGTGATTGAAATACATAGGAAATAGCAGGATTCATGGAGAAACACCCCAGAGTAATGTCAGATGTCCCTTTACAGCAGGAAGGCAAAGTTCAGAGCAGAAGCTGTTGTGACAAGGTGCCACAGTGATGTCTCTCCACCTCTGTCTGCCCTAGAGTTCCCGCGTGGCAGCGGGTGGAGCGTTGCCTGCGGC